CGAAGGACAATAAGAAAAAAAAAAAAAAAAAGGGAAGAAAAGACCAATGTTCCTTAATTACCTTCTCTACCCAAGCTTCCTTGAACTCTACAATGTAGGGATGCTGTATACGTGCAATTAAAGCCATCTGCATATTTGAAATAGACAACATAAGCCTCTTTCACGTACAAACCAAGCACTTGGTAAAGAATGCAGAAACTTCAATAGAGGATGAAACAGCAATTGATCACAACTTGCTAGTTGAGAGTTGAGACTCCAAACGGTCGAAATAGATTATAGAACTAAGGAAATCACAAATGCCTGTTTTGACGGAGTAAACTTTCAAAACATCATAGTGAATTTCATAACTAAATACACATTTTTGATAGAAGAATAATCAAGAACCACGACATAGTAATGCAATTTATCAACTAGATATAAAGACACAATAATAGTGAAGAAGAAGTTAAAAGATAATCACCATACCTCTTGATGAGCAGCTCTCCGGCAGCGTTCAGTTTGGCGAGCTAACCGAATCTTCTTAAGAACATACCTAATCATATTTTTTGAAGAATCAGGAAAAAGAAAAAATTTATACAAAAAATTTGAAAAAATTAATACATTTTCCCTTAAAGTTGAAAACCATCATCCCATAAAATTCTAAATCCATGGAATCAACTTTTACATCTAATAAAGAAATGCTTACTTTTTCCTTTCCAACTTGTGATTAACCAGAATAGCCGCCCCAAAAGCTCCACGGCCAATCTGCTCCATGATCTCATACTGGTCCATTCTTGATTCCATCACCCACGAAATTTGTTGCCCCAAAAACACGCCTTCTCTACTGTACCTCAATCCTCGATCACAATGCTGATACCCCAGATAAGCACAATCCCTGTAAAACCTCACTCCCTAACAAATCTCGCCATATACTCCAACAGAACGCTGATTATCTCACTAAGTCAAAATGCTGCAAAAGCACAAAAGCACGAAATGCGAACCCTCGAATCTTCCTCTCCTCCTCCGCCCATTCGCAGATCAATCTTCGATAAGCCACAGATTAACAACAGAAACTTCAGAAAAAAATGTAAAACAAGCAAACAACAAATGGGCACTGGATTTTTTT